TAGCAAAGAAATGGAAAGAAAGGAGAGAAGGTGAAAGATCAGAAACGAACGGAATGGGGTAGAAGGGGAAGGAGGAAGAAGGGAAAAGCAAGAAGGAAAAAAAAGGATCTAAAAATGAAAAAAAGCTTGAAAAGCCGAAAACGAACCTCGATCATGCAAGTTTTGGAATAATCCCAGAACCAGGTGATGATGTCTTCCCAGCAACGGGCTTCAAACCCCCACGGCACTCTGAGAGGGTACATTTTGCACTACCGTGTTTTCTGTGTTGTTGTGATGGTGCATGCTTACGGCCCAGTGGTACGCCCGAGCACAGTGCCCCTCACATTTTCAGGTTGGAATAATCGGCGGGACAGGCCTCGAGGATCCGCAGATATTCACGAATCCTCGCGAGTTCAGTGTGCAGACCCCGTTCGGTGCACCATCCGATGCACTAGTTGAAGGAAAGGTTGGCGATGTCACATGCATTCTGTTGTCGCGCCACGGGAGAGGACATGACACCTCACCGACAAATATCAACTTCAGAGCAAACTTGTGGGCCCTCATGCAGCAAGGTATGCTTTTCTTTTTTCGTTAATATGCATGAATTTTGTTCCGTTTCTGGTGCCCCGACAAGGATCAGAAGGGTTTTCAGGTGCCAAAGTGATCCTGAGCACGGCGGCGTCCGGGAGTCTCAAAGAGGAGATATCACCGGGCTCATTCGTCTTCTTGGATTCTGTCGTGGACAGGTAAATCACTGTACCTTTATTTCTCGCTACCCACCCCATCTTCGATATCCCTTAAACTGCTTTTAGGACATTCAAACGTGAAGTAACATTTCACGATGGCTTGAAGGGTCATCCCAGAGGAGTGTGCCATATCCCAATGCATCCAGCTTATAACGAAAAGCTTCGACAGGTGGGCTTCACTGTTTTTTGCGCTTCTAAATTCAGGTTGCGAAGAAATTGGTGAAAGAACATTTACTTTCTGGCGTGTTCATGTTTTCGAATTTGCAACCAGCACAGAGGAAACTGAACTTTAAATCTGCAAAGGAAAAATTTGGCTGTGAAAAGCGCATTTCCAGTCCGATTTGCTACGTACCTTTCAGTCTTCTGTGTTCGTGGATAGCCATAATTGAGACAAGGAAAGCAAATGGGTAAAGAATTGGGTATGAAGCTAAACAGATGGAAATAAGACTAAGTTACAAGACATGTTTTCTAGTAACCGATAAAGCCACAGTTACTAGCTCCACTGCTAACAGAGTTCTGTTACATGGAAGTAACACAAGAAATACCACGCTTGTTAGGGGGAAAAGTTAATAGGGAACGGGCTGGGAGGGATGGAGGGGCGAGGTCAGGGTGGGAGAGAAGCGAGGATGGGAAGGTGATAACAAGTTGCAGTACATTTACAATGAAGTACTCTGGTTCCTGTCTAAAATAATAGCAACGCGCACCAGACTAACCGGTGCGATCATGTGTTTTGTGCAATTCAGCCCATCGAACGATTGCCTATTAACGATTTTCACTGCTTTGTACTTTAGTCTATGCAAAAATAGTTCAGACATTGGAAAGTAGTTACAAATTTCATGCACCAGCGCATGGAAGCTGAATTCGAAATCTTGAAGGGTGGATATCTTTATCCCGAGTTAATAGTTTACTCGCCAAAATTTTCGCAAGGCCGTAGGTGATACTTAAGAGTGCGAGAACGCCGAATTTGAATAGGCAAGGTCGAGCGTGGGTATGGGGTCATTACTCTAAAATTTCAGCTCCCTAGACCCGTGGTTCCCAAGATAATAATTTCCCCGCAGAAATTTTAACTAGCCCCTACGTGATGCCCGAGAGTGCGGGAACGCTGAATATTTAATTGCAAGATCGTTTGTGAGCAAGGGATCACAACCCTAAAATTTCAGCTTCATAGACTTTATGGTTCCCGAGATAATAATTTACCCACAAAAATTTTCACTAGCCTTTTGGCGACATCCGAGAGCGCAGGAACACTGAATTTGAATGAGCAAGGTTGAGCGTGAGCAGGGAATCATTACCGTAAAATTTCAGCCTCCTAGACTCCGTGGTTCCTGAGATATTAATTTACCCGTAAAAAACTTTCACGGGGCCGTACGTGTTACCCGCAAGTACGGGGAGGCTGAATTTAAATTTTCCGCGTCGCCTGCTGGCCGGGAACACTGTACCAAAATTTCAGCCGCCTAGTTTTTGTGATTCCCGATTGAAAGTTGCGGACAAGTTGCTGCGGACACACACACAAATACATACACAGACAACCCCGTGACAATATGCGTTTTGTACTGCTGTTACACAGCACAAAACGCATAATAAACTATTGTGATTCCTGTCTGAAATAAGTGATAATGTACGCCACATGGAAGAGCTGGGCAGTCTGTATGGCATAAATGACAATAAAAACAGATGTACCTAGTGGATTATTGCATGGTACTCATGCATTTCGCACAGAATAACAGAGCAGAGGGAAAAACACCGCTGTAATGGCAGGATTCACTGCAATATCTGTATTGAATTACCTGGATGAAGAAGAGTCGTAGTGGAATAAGGTGCCTGTTGCATCAGCGGCGAGAAAAACCACACTGATGAATTATCAGAGCATTTTAACGTAATCAGATTTGCTTGAGTGGAAGAATGCTGATCGTGTACATACATACATACACACACACACACACACACACACACACACCTTTGAAATATGTTTGATTTTATTCATATTTATACGTGAGAGGCTTATGCATGAACTTTGAAGGTGCTAATATCAAGCGCTGAGGAACTGAAGTACAAATATTTCAAAAAAGGTACAGCAGTATGCATTGAGGGACCACGCTATTCCTCACGCGCCGAAAGTGAGGTGTTTCGCAGCTGGAATTGCGATATTATCAATATGACCGTTTGTCCAGAAGTAAGTTTCACTGGCAACAACAACAGTAGCCTTGGTCTGATGGGATTTTTGGACTCATAGCAAAACAACACAACCTCATTTCTCAAGTTGCTTTCAAGTTTTACACCAATTACAATTATCAAAACTGTTGTGCTGACGAAGTCCAGTTGTGGTAACGGTAAGAAATGTATACAATTTAATGGACCGAAGCATTTCTTGTCATTATAATATTTTATTAAAATAATTCCCTAATATTATTTTCTCTCCCATTCTCCTTCCTATTTCAAAATGCCTTTTTATTCCATTGTTTTTCATAAACTAATAGTATTTTAACAACGGCACATTCAGCCACTGGAATGGGTATTTTTGTGATTGTAGGACCTTTAGAACTTTTACCGCGCTGAAGATTTCGCGTACTTGTGCCTGGTACTCAGAAAAACGAATTTTTAGAGAGTTTTTGAAAAATTCTATGAAAAAAATAGGCAGCAAATAGACGCATACAGTTCAGAACAGATGCTTGAATGTGCTTAGTTGCATGCTATCGGGGTCTTAATTCTGTGGAATTTCAACGATCTGGTAAACTGGGCAAATAGCTGTAGCTGCAAGAAATTAGAACTACCCGAAATTAACTTTCTCTCCCTCTCATTCACGCTGCTTTTTTAACAGGTTTATTTGGCGAAAGAACTTGGCATTCCGTTTGCGACAACGGCACTCGTAACCGACTACGACTGCTGGAGAGAAGGCGAAAAGGTTGTTTCAATGAGATTATAAACACCTGAGCTGGATGGGATTGTTTTACGATAACAAACAGTCTGTTTTTAGGTTTCGGTTGATTTGGTAGCACAGAGAATGTTGGAAAATTCAGGCAGAGCGAAGACGCTCTTTGTTACGGCAATCAAAAAAATAGGCGCAATGAACTGGGACGAAGAAATTATCGAGGCCAAGGTATTGTGCACGTTTTCACGAACTGTTAGCAGCTTAAAAAAACGCCCAGGGTTAATTTGCAGGAACTAAGTTTGACTTGTGTCCTGAATAGCATTCCAGTGCATCGATTTTGTTACCAGCAAGGATAGTTTTTGTGGCTTTCTGAAGCTGTTTCTGGGATTTCGTGTATTCTGTGCATTTCAGAGGATTGCACGAGCAGCGATAATGGTCGAAAAGCACGTCGATTTCGAGCATCTGAAAATCGCTTAATGTCCACAGCAGTAGCCGTCTACCGATATTGTTACAGTTTCGAGCTCAGGTTTATTTGTTCCGATCTCAGGGCTCAAGTGCCATCGGATCCAAAGGCTGTTACTTCAGTTGAACACTTTGCAAATGTTTCAGTGGAAAAAAATCTCAGTAAAAGTGTTTTATGTTGGCATGTTTGTCGCAGTACCTCGTTTTGTTACATTCC